GGGGGGGGGGGGGGGGGGTAAATATCTTTCCCCTCCAAATTGCCAGCGTTAGGCCTGACATTAGCGCTGTTTCTCAAGGTATTTATGGCATTTTAAGCCTTTGCAACTTTGAGGAGTAGGAAGAAGACGAAAAATTGGATGAAATTTCATTGTTCATTTTTTGGCTAAACTTGGCGCGTAATAAAAGAGGGGATACAATTTTAAATCATAGCATGTGGCCAAACTGTGTTGCTAGGATGAACTAGTTATACGATCAACCACGCGACCATATCACAGTCAGTCAACAAACTCTAAGTAATCGTATAAACAATCAGGACCATGAAACTAGCATTCAATCAGTAGAAAATGAATTAGGCACTATGTGAAAATACGGTAGGCTAAATGCCTCCATAATTCTGCATTTTTATTGCACTATTCATCTCAAACCCCTCTTGGGGACCTGTTTGCTCCTCTCCCCATTCAAGAAGATCCCTCCTTGGACTGTTGAACTGTCATGATCAACAACAACACCTCTCTGTCCCCCCCCCCCTCCTCCTTCGTTTAGAAGGTACTACTAATTCATATATTTTCAGCTTATTTTGACCAGAATACAAGCCGCCGTGGCGATGAAGAAGGCAAGAAAACTGTGATCTTAAAGTCTTCCATTTGGGGCAGAAAAGAAAAAACCGGAGTTTCACTTGAAGTCTACAGGGTTTATTCTCCATTGACTTAACTACTAGGAGGCGTTAGCAAATTTGATGATCATATTATGGCAAAGTGAAAACAATACAGCGGTGAGAAGAGGAAACAATGGATTAGACATTAGGATAGACACTTTGATTTGAGTTGAGAGGGCATTAAAAACTTTTGTTTCAGTAGCCAAGATTGGGGCGTTGGGGGAGGGGGTGGGGTCGGGGGAAATAAGTTGGCATTTATTTCAAGCGACGGCATCAGGATGAAATCAGTTCCAGGCTGCAAAGCTCTAGAGGAAATGGAAATGCAACGCCACTTTAACACCACTGATCTGTGTTGAGCCATCCACAATCATATGAGACGCACAAATTATTTGCAGAATTGCCGTAAATTATAGGAAAAAGACGTTTCTTCAAATATGATGTTGATGATGATGATGATACATGGGTCATGTGAAGATTTGAAATCAACAGAAGGCAGCATATATAATTATCACCAAATGCAGATCCCGAAGGGCATTTATTGAATAGAAACGGTTTGAGACTTGTATCTTTGCACCAAAAACACATTATCCGCATATTAATATTTCAACACACAAATATGTTAACATGATATATGAGACGTACAAATTATTTGCAGAATTGCCTTAAATTATGGGAAAAAGAGGCGTAATTTGTTGTGAGGGGCTTGGAAATCACCATGATCAATTGCATTTATTTGTTTATTTTCGTATATAATTTTGATGCGGTGACATGGATTAAAAATTTGTTCGAGAGTTTTTCGTAGAAGGGAAATTTTATAGCTTATAAATCGTGGGGTGTGCGATAGACTTACCTCCACGTGGTG